AGTGAGGGTCTAACTTATTAATTAAACTTCCTAATAAATGTGAACATTTTATTAGCTAAATTATGCCTAGTTAGCAATGTCATGTTTTATGGGATAGAGTGAAACAAATTTTTTTGATATCAGTTTCAATCTGTCAGCACCACTGACTGACTGGCTAGCACTTAGCTAGCTAATGTTAGCTGTCATATTTGTGCACAGTTCATGTGATAGGTAGCTAGCTAAATAATTATTTGCTTAACACTTATATTTTTAGGTGAATACGTTGCTGTCTTTAAAAAAAAAAATACATGCTAGTGTCACTGTTCAGTAGCATGTTAGCTAGCACATCAGCTAAGGTGACGTCAAAGCGAAACGTAACTTTTGCAGATGGATACCCTCTCCCTACCCGTGGTGTTGGAAGAGGCTATGTTTGTGGTGCACTCACTCATAACACTTTTTTTTGTGACAAATGAGTGTATCGTCTTCAAGATTGATGAAATGGAGAATAAGTAAAATGCATGTATTATTCTCTTAAATGTAGCCCATACATTCATTCTTTGGAACAATTAGATATTTTATTGTTTTAAACTAGTAGCTAGCTCATCTTGATCATGTGTTGTTCCTTCTCTCTTTCTAGAAGCAGTCAGTTACAAGGCAAAAATACAGATTGAGGCCTTCAATCAAACTGAGGACAGAGAAATATTTGTGCACCAGACAGGTCAAGGCTGGGTTGTTTGGATGACCCAATTGCTGGGTTGCAGGCATTGGGTCAATATTTAGGTGGTTTTCTGTAAATACAGCAAGGTTGGCTTGTTGGTGCTGGGCTATTAAGTTTGGGCTATGGATATTTGACCAAGCCAGTGCGTTAATTCTCCTGAAACCAGCGTGTGAAGTCCACCAGAATACTTGCAAGTTTTCTAGTTCTAGTGCGACTGAGTGACTAACAAGTGGAAAATGACTAACGTTATTTCTACAGACTAAGGGTGTTTTGGCTGACTAAAAACCATAACAACGGTAAGTAACAAATGTTACGAATTATGAATTTGATGGTCATTCAGGTTAAATAGGTTGTCCTATCATAATTAGGTAGCTAGCTAACGTTAGCTTGAGCGTTAGCTAGCTAATGACCGTTAGCTACCTAGACATTTTCTGGGCTAATATCTCTGGCTGTGGTAATGTTAGCTAGCTAAAGTTAGCTAGCTAGCTACCTTAGTTACAGTGGGGAAAAAAAGTATTTAGTCAGTCACCAATTGTGCAAGTTCTCCCACTTAAAAAGATGAGAGAGGCCTGTAATTTTCATCATAGGTACACGTCAACTATGACAGACAAACTGAGAAGAAAAAAAATCCAGAAAATCACATTGTAGGATTTTTTATGAATTTATTTGCAAATTATTGTGGAAAATAAGTATTTGGTCAATAACAAAAGTTTCTCAATACTTTGTTATATACCCTTTGTTGGCAATGACACAGGTCAAACGTTTTCTGTAAGTCTTCACAAGGTTTTCACACACTGTTGCTGGTATTTTGGCCCATTCCTCCATGCAGATCTCCTCTAGAGCAGTGATGTTTTGGGGCTGTCGCTGGGCAACACGGACTTTCAACTCCCTACAAAGATTTTCTATGGGGTTGAGATCTGGAGACTGGCTAGGCCACTCCAGGACCTTGAAATGCTTTTTACGAAGCCACTCCTTCGTTGCCCGGGCGGTGTGTTTGGGATCATTGTCATGCTGAAAGACCCAGCCACGTTTCATCTTCAATGTCCTTGCTGATGGAAGGAGGTTTTCACTCAAAATCTCACGATACATGGCCCCATTCATTCTTTCCTTTACACGGATCAGTCGTCCTGGTCCCTTTGCAGAAAAACAGCCCCAAAGCATGATGTTTCCACCCCCATGCTTCACAGTAGGTATGGTGTTCTTTGGATGCAACTCAGCATTCTTTGTCCTCCAAACACGACGAGTTGAGTTTTTACCAAAAAGTTCTATTTTGGTTTCATCTGACCATATGACATTCTCCCAATCATCTTCTGGATCATCCAAATGCACTCTAGCAAACTTCAGACGGGCCTGGACATGTACTGGCTTAAGCAGGGGAACACGTCTGGCACTGCAGGATTTGAGTCCCTGGCGGCGTAGTGTGTTACTGATGGTAGGCTTTGTTACTTTGGTCCCAGCTCTCTGCAGGTCATTCACTAGGTCCCCCCGTGTGGTTCTGGGATTTTTGCTCACCGTTCTTGTGATCATTTTGACCCCACGGGGTGAGAGGGAGATTATCAGTGGTCTTGTATGTCTTCCATTTCCTAATAATTGCTCCCACAGTTGATTTCTTCAAACCAAGCTGCTTACCTATTGCAGATTCAGTCTTCCCAGCCTGGTGCAGGTCTACAATTTTGTTTCTGGTGTCCTTTGACAGCTCTTTGGTCTTGGCCATAGTGGAGTTTGGAGTGTGACTGTTTGAGGTTGTGGACAGGTGTCTTTTATACTGATAACAAGTTCAAACAGGTGCCATTAATACAGGTAACGAGTGGAGGAGAGAGGAGCCTCTTAAAGAAGAAGTTACAGGTCTGTGAGAGCCAGAAATCTTGCTTGTTTGTAGGTGACCAAATACTTATTTTCCACCATAATTTGCAAATAAATTCATAAAAAATCCTACAATGTGATTTTCTGGATTTTATTTTCTCAATTTGTCTGTCATAGTTGACGTGTACCTATGATGAAAATTACAGGCCTCTCTCATCTTTTTAAGTGGGAGAACTTGCACAATTGGTGGCTGACTAAATACTTTTTCCCCCACTGTAGATACAGTGCTTTGCAAAAGTATTCATCCCCCTTGGCGTTTTTCCTATTTTGTTGCATTACAACCTGTAATTTAAATGGATTTTTATTTGGATTTCATGTAATGGACATACACAATTCTAAAAAATAAATAACAGAAAAGTGGTGCGTGCATATGTATTCACCCCCTTTGCTACGAAGCCCCTAAATAAGATCTGGTGCAACCAATTACATTCAGAAGTCATATAATTAGTTAAATAAAGTCCACCTGTGTGTAATCTAAGTGTCACATGATCTGTCACATGATCTCAGTATATATACACCTGTACTGAAAGGCCCCAGAGTCTGCAACACCACTAAGCAAGGGGCACCACTAAATCACTAAATCCATTATTAAAAAATTTCAAGAATATGGCATCACAACAAACCTATCAAGAGAGGGCCGCCCACCAAAACTCACGGACAAGGCAAGGAGAGCTTTAATCAGAGAGGCAACAAAGAGACCAAAGATAACCCTGAAGAAGCTGCAAAGCTTCACAGCGGAGATTGGAGTATGTGTCCATAGGACCACTTTAAGCCGTATACTCCACAGAGCTGGGCTTTATGGAAGAGTGGCCAGAAAAAAGCCATTGCTTAAAGAAAAAAATAAGCAAACACGTTTGGTGTTCGCCAAAAGCCATGTGGGAGACTCCCCAAAGAAGGTACTCTGGTCAGATGAGACTAAAAATTCAGCTTTTTGGCCATCAAGGAAAACGCTATGTCTGGCGCAAACCCAACACCTCTCATCACCCCGAGTACACCATCCCCACAGTGAAGCATGGTGGTGGCAGCATCATGCTGTAGGGATGCTTTTCATTGGCAGGGACTGGGAAACTGGTCAGAATTGAAGGAATGATAGATGGCGCTAAATACAGGAAATTCTTGAGGGAAACCTGTTTCAGTCTTCCAGATTTGAGACTGGGACAGAGGTTCACCTTCCAGCAGGAGAATGATCCTAAGCATACTGCTAAAGCAACACTCGAGTGGTTTAAGAGGAAACATTTAAATGTCTTGGAATGGCCTAGTCAAAGACCAGACCTCAATCCAATTGAGAATCTATGGTATGACTTAAAGATTGCTGTACACCAGCAGAACCCATCCAACTTGAACGAGCTCTGTGGCTAGATGTGCCAAGCTTATAGAGACATACCCCAAGAGACTTGCAGCTGTAATTGCTGCAAAAGGTGGCTCTACAAAGTATTGACTTTGGGGGGGTGAATAGTTATACACGCTCAAGTTCTGTTTTTTTGTCTTATTTCTTGTTTGTTTCACAATAAAAAATATTAATTTTGCATCTTCAAAGTGGTAGGGATGTTGTGTGAATCAAATGATACAAACCCCTCCAAAATCAATTTTAATTCCAGGTTGTAAGGCAACAAAATAGGAGAAATGCCAAGGGGGGTGAATACTTTCGCAAGCCACTGTAAGTCTGACACTTCTTCTGGACTGTCTCGGACACGGTGTCACTCGTTAGCTAATTTTAGCTAAGTTAGCTGGCTAGCTAAGTTACCATTGCTAGATTTGACTTATTCTCCATTAATTTAACCAAGCTATTTGGCAGGCTTGCATGGTGATTGATTGAGTTAGCTAGTGTTACTGTACTGGTTTTCAATGGTTTCTGACAGTGGCATCTTTAGTTGGACTTGTGAAGTTGAGGCGAACGTTAGTGTTTATCTTATTTGATGTAGCCAAGTTAGTTTAGCTAGCTTCTAACGTTTCTTTATTTCTGTACTTGAATAGACAGCTTTATAAATACAGTATATGCTGAATGAGTGGAACCTGGCGTCTTTGACTCCAAAGTTTGAGGGTAAGTAGCGCATAATCTTCTATGCTCTGACAGGGCACGTATGCTCGGACACGCATACCTGTGACGTATTTCCCCCTCTTTTCCCGCGACGATAGGTCTCATATATTGTAACATAGTAAAGGGAAAGTAAGAGTTGAAATACAACATTTCACAACTCTACGTGCATTTTTTGTGCAAATATAGTGATATAAATACGGCCTCACTTCTACATGTGACCAAATGTACAGTTTAAGTTGTTAAATTATGATCACTCGTCACCTCAAAAATCTCTCTCCGACCAGATTTAATTATCTCATCACACTGGGGGGGGGGGGGGGGGGTTATAGTAAACACAACAGAGAACACCGCTCAGTGGACCCCTAATTTGATCTGAAACTTGAAGATCTTTTTTTGCAAAAGAGCAAAGGGAGGAGAAGGCTATTGCTAGCTGACCACTCATGCACTGCAGAGAAACCGCCAACTGACTCCTCAGGAGAAGAAATGGAGGAATCTGGACATTCGGTTGATTCAGAAACTCCAGTCAATAGAAATAATTGTCTTTGCGCGAACTCCAGGTCAACATAATCGATGCTGTAACTGCAAAGATAAACGAAAGAGCCGATGGTCTGGAGAAAATGATATGCGAAAACACATAAAAAATCATTGACCTCAACACCTCTCTGAATCATGCATACTAGAGTATCAAAGATCTTAAACTTGTAAACACTGCAACCTCTGATGAATGTACTGCACAGAAGAAGACCATCGCCGACACGCAAGAGCGCTTGTTGGAAGCAGAGCGATACCGGAGAAGGTGGGGGCTACAGCTTTACAGTGTCCCCAAGGACCAGGGTGAGAATGTGAAGCGCAAAGTAAGTGACATCTGTAACCATGTGGCCCCGGACTTCCCCGAAGGCTACAGTGCATTCGGAAAGTATTCCGACTCCTTTACTTTTTCCACATTTTGTTAAGTTACAGCCTTATTCTAAAAGGTATTAAATCTACACACAACACCCCATAATGATGAAGCAAAAACTGGTTTTTAGACATTTTAGCAAATGTATAAATTTTTTTTATGGAAATATCACATTTACATAAGTATTCAGACCCTTTACCCAGTACTTTGTTGAAGCACCTTTGGCAGAGATTACAGCCTCAAGTCTTCTTGGATATGACGCTACAAGCTTTGCACACCTGTATTTGGGGAGTTTCTCCCATTCTTCTCTGCAGATCCTATCAAGCTTGGCACAGCTATTTTCAGGTCTCTCCAGAGATGTTAGATCAGGTTCAAGTCCGGGCTCTGGCTAGGCCACTCAAGGACATTCAGAGGCTTGTCCCAAAGCCAGTCCTGTGTTCTCTTAGCTGTGTGCTTAGGGTCGTTGTCCTGTTAGAAGGTGAACCTTCGCCCCAGTCTGAGGTCCTGAGCACTCTGGAGCAGGTTCTCATCAAGCATCTCTCTGTACTTTCCTCTGTTCATCTTTCCCTCGATCCTGACTAGTCTCCCAGTGCCTGCCGCTGAAAAACATCCCCACAGCATGATGCTGCCACCACCATGCTTCACCATAGGGATGGTGCCAGGTTTTCTCCAGACGTGACGGTTGGCATTCAGGCCAAAGAGTTCAATCTTGGTTTCATCAGACCAGAGAATCTTGTTTCTCATGGTCTGAGAGTCTTTAGGTGGCTTTTGGCAAACTCCAAGCGGGCTGTCATGTGCCTTTTACTGAGGCGTGGCTCCCTTCTGGCCACTCTACCATAAAGGCCTGATTGGTGGAGTGCTGCAGAGATGGTTGTCCTTCTAGAAGGTTCTCCCATCTCCACAGAGGAACTCTGGAGCTCTGTCAGATTGAACATCGGGTTCTTGGTCACCTCCCTGACTTCGTCTATTTAAGAATGATGGAGGCCACTGTGTTCTTGGGGACCTTCAATGCTGCAGAAATGTTTTGGTACCCTTCCTCAGATCTGTGCCTCGACACAATCCTGTCTTGGAGCTCTATGGACAATTCCTTCGACCTCATGGCTTGGTTTTTGCTCTGACATGCACTGGCAATTGTGTGACCTTATATAGACAGGTGTGTGCCTTTCCAAATCATGTCCAATCAATTGAATTTACCACAGGTGGACTCCAATCAAGTTGTAGAAACATCTTAAGCATGATCAATGGAACAGGATGCACCTGAGCTTAATTTCGAGTCTCATAGCAAAGAGTCTGAATACTTATGTAAATAAGGTATTTCTGTTATTTTATTTTTAATACATTTGCTAACATTTCTAAAAACCTGTTTTCGCTTTGTCATTATGGGGTATTGTGTGTAGATTGATGAGGAACATTTTTTATTTAATCAATTTTAAAATAAGGCTGTAACATAACAAAATGTGGAAAAAGTCAAGGCGTCTGAATACTTTCCGAATGCACTGTACATATAATGTGAGTAAAACAGTAGTAAACATTATTCAAGTGACCAGTGTTCAATTACTATATTCAATGACTACAGCACAACAACGGTGAGTCCAAAAATGTATATTATGCTGCTTGATAAATGATGTAATATGCCAGGGAGATATGTATTCTGTAGCTAAGAAAGTAATACTAAGTGTATGTTGTGTAGTAAGCTGTTAGTAGCCCATGTGCCTCACCCTAATAATTTGGTCCCTTTCCCCCTCATAACTTAGCCTACTCTTCTGACTTGGTCGTGAACGTGTAGCCTATAGCCTGTTTTAGAGAAATGTCATCATCAAATATTGTAAGATTGTCTGCTTATACAGTGGCTTGTGAAAGTATTCACCCCCCTTGGCATTTTTCCTATTTTGTTGCCTTACAACCTGGAATTAAAATGGATTTTTTTGGGGGGGTTTGTATCATTTGATTTACACAACATGCCTACCACTTTGAAGATGCAAAATATTTTTTGTTGTGAAACAAACAAGAAATAAGACAAAAAAACAGAAAACTTGAGCGTGCATAACTATTCACCCCCCCAAAGTCAATACTTTGTAGAGCCAACTTTTGCAGCAATTACAGCTGCTCTTGGGGTATGTCTCTACAAGCTTGGCACATCTAGCCACTGGGATTTTTGCCCATTCTTCAAGGCAAAACTGCTCCAGCTCCATGAAGTTGGATGGGTTCCGCTGGTGTACAGCAATCTTTAAGTCATACCACAGATTCTCAATTGGATTGAGGTCTGGGCCATTCCAAGACATTTCAATGTTTCCGCTTAAATCACTCGAGTGTTGCTTCAGCAGTATACTTAGGGTCATTGTCCTGCTGGAAGGTGAACCTCTGTCCCAGTCTCAAATCTCTGGAAGACTGAAACAGGTTTCCCTCAAGAATTTCCTTGTATTTAGCGCCATCCATCATTCCTTCAATTCTGACCAGTTTCCCAGTCCCAGCTGATGAAAAACATCCCCACAGCATGATGCTGCCACCACCATCCTTCACTGTGGGGATAGTGTTCTCGGAGTGATGAGAGGTGTTGGGTTTGCGCCAGACATAGCTTTTTCCTTGATGGCCAAAAAGCTTAATTGTAGGCTCATCTGACCAGAGTACCTTCTTCCATATGTTTTGGGGAGTCTCGCACATGCATTTTGGCGAACACCAAACGTGTTTGCTTATTTTTCTTCTTTAAGCAATGGCTTTTTTTCTGGCCACTCTTCCATAAAGCCCAGCTCTGTGGAGTGTACGGCTTAAAGTGGTCCTCTGGACAGATACTCCAATCTCCGCTGTGGAGCTTTGCAGCTTCTTCAGGGTTATCTTTGGTCTCTTTGTTGCCTCTCTGATTAATGCCCTCCTTGCCTGGTCCATGAGTTTTGGTGGGCGGCCCTCTCTTGGCAGGTTTGTTGTGGTTCCATATTCTTGACATTTTTTAATAATGGATTTAATGGTGCTCTGTGGGATGTTCAAAGTTTCGGATATTGTTTTATAACCCAACCCTGACCTGTACTTCTGATAAAGAAATGTGTGAGTAAGATATGACTAAAATGTCACACCCTCAGTTAAACTAATAATATATGACTATTAGAAGACTAGAGCTTAGAGATTTAATCATATGTGTTTATATAAGATGCATATTTGCCCAGCAACAGAGTATTTGTGTCTTGTAATTAGGCAAGCAGAAGTGCAAAACGTTGAAACCAATAACAGGAGACCGGTTTCAAAAACAGATGTCCCCACACAGGGAAGGGGAGTGAGAGGCTTGCAGAGTATTGTGAGAACAGCGCTAACTATGTATAGGAATAGAGAAAAAAATGCAGCGTGCCTGAGCAAGGAGTAGGCTATGATAAGAACGTGTGTGTGACGTGTGTGTATAAAAAGACTGTGCGCCCATTTTGTGGCAGAGCGCTCTCATGAATAAAGGCTAACCATTGCAGAAAGGGGTCTTTGTTTAATTCATTATTTAAACTAGAGATTTACAACCTCTGGGAATTATTCAAAGATTTAAGAAGTAGTTGACTTCAACCATTGAGATAACAAAATTCTTGTGACAACTTCTCCACAACTTTGTCCCTGACCTGTTTGGAGAGCTCCTTGGTCTTCATGGTGCCGCTTGCTTGGTGGTGCCCCTTGCTTAGTGTGTTGCAGACTCTGGGGCCTTTCAGAAACGTGTATATATATTGAGATCATGTGACAGATCATGTGACACTTAGATTGCACACAGGTGGACTTTATTTAACTAATTATGTGACTTCTGAAGGTAATTAGTTGCACCAGATCTTATTTAGGGGCTTCATGGCAAAGTGGGCGAATACACCACTTTTCCGTTATTATTCTTTTTGAATTTTTGAAAACAAGTTATGTTTTTCATTTCACTTCACCAATTTGGACGATTTTGTGTATGTCCATTACATGAAATCCAAATAGAAATCCATTTAAATTACAGGTTGTAATGCAACAAAATAGGAAAAACGCCAAGGGGGATGAATACTTTTGCAAGGCACTGTATGCCCCCTTTATTTATCCTACGGTTCTGACTTGGTGTACAGGGAGAGTAATGTAAGGACGGCCCATGTTCTGAATTCTGTCGCTGTACATTTCAAAAGTGCTGAACAAATAGTCATGTTGACTACGTCTGTCTTAGCTCGCTCATTAATGTCTTAATCGAAATTACGGATTGCCTCTTATCCGCTCATCGTTCCCATATGGTATAGTTTGTACATCTCAATTGATATAGGCCTGTTGCTTATACAGGTCTATCTCATTAGCCTCTTATTCATCATTTTAGGCAATGTTGGAATGATTTAATTGTTTTGCTTACTTTGTGTATTATATTTAGCTCATATGCTTTTCTTCACGAGGAGGGGATACTATATAATGTTGTTGGGTCTGGAGCCATGTTTGCCAGTGACAGTCTCTTCCCATTCAAATATTTGTTTTCAACTAAAGGTTCAGTAATAATCAAATCACATTTTATTTGTCACATACAGTGGGGGAAAAAAGTATTTAGTCAGCCACCAATTGTGCAAGTTCTCCCACTTAAAAAGATGAGAGGCCTGTAATTTTCATCATAGGTACACGTCAACTATGACAGACAAAATGAGAGAAAAAAATCCAGAAAATCACATTGTAGGATTTTTAATGAATTTATTTGCAAATTATGGTGGAAAATAAGTATTTGGTCAATAACAAAAGTTTCTCAATACTTTGTTATATACCCTTTGTTGGCAATGACACAGGTCAAATGTTTTCTGTAAGTCTTCACAAGGTTTTCACACACTGTTGCTGGTATTTTGGCCCATTCCTCCATGCAGATCTCCTCTAGAGCAGTGATGTTTTGGGGCTGTCGCTGGGCAACACGGACTTTCAACTCCCTACAAAGATTTTCTATGGGGTTGAGATCTGGAGACTGGCTAGGCCACT